TCATTTATTTCACCCTCATAATAACCACATGTGTGCTAGGATCCTTGCGTTAACAATAAGGAAAATGAGCCCTTTGTATCCTTTCTCAAAGTTACTCTATTGGTAAATGGCAGGCCCAAGACTTAATCCCTCTTCTGTGCTCTCCCCATCGCATACACATTCATCTGGATTCTTTCAGAAGCTAGTGCACATTCTCACAGAAATCAGTATACATCTCACCTCGATCTGGTCGATTTTTACTTGCTTGTATGCTTTCTTCATTTCCTTTACTCCTAGTTTCATAGCGTCAACCTAAAAAAAAAGGTAAGAGAAAACACAGTGTTTTAAGAAGCCATGTTGGTTAAGCAGTCTTTTCAGAACCACGGGAAAAGAGCACAGAGCACAGAAATGAAATCAAATCACGGGCAAAGGTGCTTTGGAGTACCGTGGTCTTGGTGTCCTTCAGCGACTGGATGGTGTAATTGGCTTGCTCCATGTTAAAGGACTGTTGGGCGAGATTGTCCCGCTGCTGCTCATACCTTTTGAGAGTCAATCGGGAATGATAAATGTGAGCATTCTTCTCAGGAAGAAAGTATCTCTAACACTAAACACGAGAATTTTCTATTAAAAAAAAGTTCTCAAAATTAAATACAAAGAAAAATGGGCAAAAATAATTTAATCACTCTAACGCAAATATCATTTGATGTATCCCTCCAGTCTTTTTCCTTTGTATGTATTTTAGTTATAACACTATTTCCATTTAACATTATAGCATTTGCTGTTTTCTATGTTGCTACAAAGTCTTAATAAATATATCTTTATAATATGTTAGATTATTTTGTATGCTAAATTCCCAGAAGTGGAATTCTTGGGGCAAAGCGTAGGGCTATTTTTAAGGCTCCTCGTATACATAATGAAACTGTTTTTCCAGTAGACAGAGCTCCTTGAGGACAGGTATTATATTTTATTAATCTTGTATCCATAATTAGGTAATCCATCCAACCTAATATAATGCCTGGCACTCAAAATATGTTTTTTTTTTTTTTTTGGTGAGGAAGATTAGCTCTGAGCTAACATCTGTTGCCAATCCTCCTCTTTTCACTGAGGAACACTGGCTCTGGGCCAACATCCGTGCCCATGGTCCTCTGCCTTATATGTGGGATGCCTGCCACAGCATGGCTTGACAAGTGGGTCCGTGCCTGGGATCCGAACCTGCAAACCCTGGGCCGCCGAGGCAGAGCACGTGACCCCAACCACTATGCCACCAGGCTGGCCCCCAAGATATGTTTTTTCAATATAGAGTTTTATATCAACTTATACTACTACCTCAAAGACATGTCACTATAGTCTTTGTACAATATTTGGAAACCATCTAACTATCCAACCAGAAGAAAAACGGTCAATTCATGGTGCAGGCAAATGGTGGTGGAATATTATGACCCGACTGAAAAGTACAAAGTTTCCAAAGAATATTTCCAAGAACATTTAAAAGGACAGAGAAATGCTCATGATACAACGTTAAGTGGAAAAGGATAACCTATATACATGCCATTTGTTTTCTTCCAAGTTTCTACAATGAACATGTATACTTTTATTTAAAAAAAAAAGCTACTTAAAAATTGCAATGCTACTGATTAAGGAGGTAACAGTTTTACCACTTTCACCACTCTAGGCATTATAATTTTTTTCCAATTTTGTCTAATCTAAAAGGAGTAAAGTAAGATGGTATCAGATGTACTATAAACAGAAACAGAGATATCAAAATCTTTCGGGTTCCTTATTAGCTGATTATGTCTGACCTCTACAGCCCTGCAAGGGTCTCAGCAGCTGGACAGCCCACAAGGGTAAACACCAAAAATACTATTTGGTTTCTGCTCAAATAGTGGGACACAGTCACCTAAAACAAACTAAGGACCCTTAAATCTTCTGGTGGGAGGGAACAAATATTTAAGATTCTCAATTTTAAAGACAAACAAACAAAAATAAAAAAGGCACACGTTAACGAAACAAATAATGGGAGAACCAAACCCTATAGATCTGGGCAGTCCAATACAGAATCCACGAGCCACACATGGCTACTTAAATTGTTAACATCAAATCACATTAAAACTTCAGTTCCTCAGTAACACTAGCCACATTTCAAGTGCTCAACAGCCACACGTGGCTAACAGCTACTGTACTGGACAGCACAGACACAGAGCATCTCCCATCACAGCAAAAAGTTCTATTTAGCCAGCCAGTGCTGCAGAGATGGTGCTGAACACACAGGGGGAGGAAAACCCAGGTGACCATAGATGTAAATGAAATGTGTGATTAAATCAAGAACACTCATAACACGGTATGAAAACTTGAAGGAATGGAAGACCACTTCTCTTTTGGTTAAACCTGCTAGAGGAAAGGAGATTACACTTATAACTTACATCCGCTTTTGCTTTAAAACCCGCAAGGCTTTCTGCTTGACCATATTCTAGGCAGAAAAACAGATTTTAATGAAAAGAAGTAGAAAATATACATCTGGTAAAAGCAATCTCTCATATCCTCAAAGTCACATACCTATTTATTCTCTTCTTCAGAGTAGCAGACACAGTGCTCCCAGACTGTGCACCTCCCAAGCACAGTCTTAGGCTGCAGCTTGCCTGTCTCTGCATCCCTCTCCTCAGTGTGCTGAACAACACCCCCTTTTCCTGGTGCACGTTATCTCCAACCCCAGCCCCACCAGTGCCAGTTCTCTATATCCAGCTGCCTTAGGGAGATTCCCAACTTGGACATCCTACTATCCACACACACTTAACACACCCCAACACCTCAACCTGCTCTCACCTTAGAGATGACCAACAATGGCCCCATCAATCTCTCACTTCTCTAGGTTGAGACCTTTACATCAACCTTACCCACCCTCTCTTTGTTGTCTCTTCACGCACAGTCATCTCGTGACTGATTCTCAGAACTCACTTCCAAATTGGTTCCTTTCATGCCATTCTCATTACTAACACCATGGTTTAGGCTTTCATCTCCTCAATGAGCTTTCTTCATTCCATGCCATCCAACTAAGATGGCTGAGAAGAGCTTCTTGTCACCTCCCTTTCTATGCTGTTCCATAAATCATTTTATTTGTCTCCTCCAGTGAAGAAGGAAAAGCAGATATTACTTCACAGTTGATAATAATACCTAAGATTTACTGGATGTTTCTACGTACTAGACACGGTGCTATGTAGGTCACAAGAATGACCTCGTCTAATCCTCACACTATAACATAGATATGATCCCCATTTTACAGATAGGAAAAACTGAGGTTCAGTGATACTAAGTAACTTGCCCTAGCTCAAATGGTTAATAAGTTATGGAGATGGGAAAAAAGAAGATAGTTCTATATTCACAGTCCATGCACTTAAATACAGTGTTCTATGTTTCTATCTGACAAAAGAGGAAAATAAGAAATTAAGTGACTTTATCAAGGTCACAGCTAGTAGGTAGGAATGGTGTTACTAACAGAACACTGTTCCAGGTGCCTACTTCAGTACTTTTTCCCACATGCCACTCCTTAGCCAGTCTATTATACCTACCTAACCTGACCAGCTTAGCAACTCACTGTTCCTGAGCGTGGCCCAGCTCTCCTCTCTAGACTGCCACCTTCTCAGTAGAATATGCTAATTCCCACGTACATGCTTCTGGACATGTGATCAGCATCTTCTCTCCTCCAGGTCAAACTCCAGCCTCCCTCTCATAACTGGCTGCAAATATCCTCTCCTCCCAGAAGGATACACCCTCACCTAGGTTTTCTCCTTACCAGACTGTGAGCACCACTTCTGCATCTCTCTCCAGCCCTCACCACCAGGCCCACTTCCGCAGGGGCTCAAGTTAGGCTGTCACAGCTCCTTCTGCAGCTGCTGCCTAGCTTACCTTGGCAGGACCCTCTCTCATCTTCTTGATCTGATCCTTATACTTCACTAGCTCGGCATCCAGTCGAGAAATCTTTTTGTCAATGGATTCTGCCCTGCTGTCCACCTTGGGGGAAAAAAATCAAAGGCAGTGGTAGTTACTGCAACACACTTACATGAGAAGGGGCAAGAGAGAAAGGAATACAGAAGAAGAAAAGAAAAATAAAGAGCACATGGTGAAGGGTGGAAAACAGTGGTTCCCAAGAGGGAGGGAGATTCCCAGTCAGAAACACTGGGGGGCCTTTATAAACTATACTCCACCCCCCCGCTTCTGATATTTCTGGGTCCCCTTCAAGTGCGTTTGGGCAGAAAAATAATTTGAGAATCACTGGGCCGAGCTGAGATTTCCCCAGAATTGGAGACTAGTCAGTCTGGGGGCTCAACCACGAGGTGGGTGAAATGGGCTAGTGTCCAGTGGAGCCCGCTAGGGCTGCAGATCTAATGCCATTCGCTTAGATGGAGGGTGGTGGCTTAACGTGAGGGACCAGAGTTCTGAATCCCGCGTTACTGAGATCCAGGATAGGGGTACAGACGTAGGATATCAAGCTGAGGGTCCTGACGTGGGAGAGGGGTGAGAGATCAAAGAGGGGTAAAGGGTCGGGCTGGACGAGGTGGGAAGGGAGTGCGGGCCTACGGCTGGTCGGGGTGAGGGGACAAGGACAGAGCCAGTGGACGCGGCAGCGGGCATCGGAAGGGCTGGGTACAAGTAGGGCGAAGCAGTGATGGGCTAGGGGTCCCTGGTTTGTGGCGTCAGGAATGACTTGGGGCACAGGCACGAAAGCGGGGTGGAGAGGCCCGAGGTGTAATGGGCCCGGACCGGGAACAGGGTAGAGGAGTAGGCGCCGGGAGCCGGGGGTGGGCGGGGTCGGGGTGTCAGAGTCCCTGAGCCCAGCTATGCGTGGTCAAGTGCCCACCGTGCCAATGCAGTCAGTCAGGCTGGGCGGCGGAGCCTTGGGTTTCGGCTTCCCGAAGAATCGGTTCATCTTGGACGGCCGCGAAAAATACCCAAACACTGGAGCAAAACCAGAAACGGAAGCAGCGTCACCTCCGCCTTGACTTCCGGCCCTGTTCTGCGCAAGCGCAATGTGCCTATTTCCCCGATCTTTCTTCCGAGTTTTCAGCTCGGCCTTCCGGGCAGGAGAGCTCCTGCTGGTTGGAGGAGGAGGACAGAGAGTCAGCAGGGGCGTGGCCTCGGCGCAGGGGTGGGCGTGGCTTCAGATGAGCGGGGCGGGGCCTCGGCGAGTGGGTGGGGCCGGGGCGGCTTTAGCCGTACAGAGCCGGGCAGGAGCAGGCCTGCTCCGAGGGG